TGAAACTATAATAGTACTAATTTCGAAGTGGAAAGACTAGAAAAGGAACCACATGATTTTTACGATGCAGACGCCAGCTTTCATCTAAACGGCAAGCCTTGTTGTCAATTACAACACGATGAAGGGATTAGTTGAAATTAGCGACTAGATGGCAGTCTGTACTCCGTTTGTGAGAAAGACAGAGAAATGATATATTTGTCTGGTTTTTCATTTCGTAATCCAGACTGCCTTGGTTAATGTTTCTATATTGAGATAGAAAATCATGATAAACTACTTCAAAAAGCTAATTGTGGACGACATGCTGCACATGAACTTCAACGACACGCCGACAAGCTGTTCGAGAACACAAAAACCTAGCCAAGAAGGCTAAGTCAAAATGCAGTAACTGCAATAAATTTTGTTGTCTAGATGGTTTCCAAACAAATCAGGCATGTTAGTTGCTAACAAAAATGAAATGTTGGTCTTCGGAATAATTTGATAAGTGGCCGGTGCTATACTAGACAGTTATATAGCGCTCAAAAGTCTTCGGGTAAATGTTTCTTCTTCCGTACTTCTCAGTCGTATTCCTTTCCTACTAGATGTAATCATTCGAAATTTCGATATATGTAGCGGCGTGTATTGTGAATATTTACCACTATTAACCTGTGATTTGATTATGTTCCAGGTCCGCAAAGCTTGAACTCAAATTCAGCTGGAAATTCAGATGATGGTTCTTTTAGGATTTTTTTCATTCTTCCATGTCTATTAATGCCACTTGGGGGCTTCGATTAGAAGGACATCAGGGCAATGATTTTGATATCGAATGCAAAATCCTAGCCTACTAGAATGACATCGGTGCCAGAAAGATATTGGAAGCATTACACATCCTCGAGACGAATCCTAAGCCGATCAACCGAAATGAGTGCATTGCTCTAACGATTAAACTTCTGCCATTCTTCCCCTTTTGTGGGTTTTGAAGTCACCGCGTAATCTTATCTCACGAACGTCAATGGTGTCTCATTGTTCCCTCGTTGTTAACGAAATACAGTTTGACGACAGCGCTTATGGGACAACAGAGGGTTAGTTTTTCGGCTGGGATGTTTCGGTGTTGGAGTTTCAGGGAGTTGTTGCAACTGGCCGAGCGCGCTTGGGCGATTGGTCTAATAAGCCACAGATCAGGAGCTCCCACTTTCAGGTATTTGAAGTCGACGAGTAAGTCGAAACGTCGATCAAGTAAACGGTTCCATCATAACAAACCTGCACGGCAAAGAATGGTGAAAAATATGTAACATGCCCAGGTTTCAAATAGACCGAATGTGGAAACTATGAAATTGAAGTGTTTCGAAATTTCTCAAACAATTTGGAGGTGGTACACGCAATGACAAGTATAACATAAGCGCAGAATTTTGCCTTCGTTCTGCAATGAGTTCTTGACATCTGGTACGCTTTTGCGCGATGCTGATTTATTTTTCAATCCGCTTCCAAGGTGA